TCAGAAAACTCTGAACAAAATGATTGTAATGTAATAAGTCCTTACTTATCAATAATTACCTTAACTAGGAATGGACAAAATCCCCTTATTAAAAGACATATAGAGAGACTGAATGGATTTTTAAAAAGAACTAACTAGACACTGCTTACCAAAACTGACTTTAGGTTTAATGACATATAGGTTGAAAGTGAAGGGATGGAAAACACATGAAATGGTAGCCAGAAGAACGTATTTTAGAGGCTGTTATTCTCTCTATATAAAACAGTAAAACAAGACTGTACTAATCTGGAATGCTAGAGGTACATCCATGGTTACTGGGCAGAGATCAGGAGGATTGTGGTTAGAGGCCAGCTCAGGGAATAAGTTAATGAGATCCTACCTCAATCAAAAGCCAGGCATGGTGGCATGTACTTGTCATCCCAGCCATGCTGGGATGTAGAAGGATCACAGTCTGAAGTTGGCATAAATGTGAGACGCAATTAAAGCACATAGGCTGAGATGTGGCTCACATGATAGAGCTCCTGCCTAGCAAGCTAGAGACTGAATTCAAATCCCAGCACTGCACACCCAACACACTCCATAAAAGACTGATCTGACTAACGGCAGTGTTTTGTATGCTTATGTATCAGAAAGCTACCACAGCATCTGACAATGTTTAAAATGTCACAGAGAAAACTTGAAAGAGATCGTGTTGCCATGAATCCTAAAGACAGTAGCTTCAAAAGAATCAGAAGTCCTAGTTTTATGATGCTACATGAATGTCTGATCTGACCGAGGTCAGCACGAGCTGCAGTGACCTCCACTGTGTTCAGCCCCTGTCTCCCTGAGAGCTGTCCCCTCCCCAGGGCCCATGAGCTGGCAGCTATACTCACTGGCAAGGCAGTCATCGATGTCCTCCTCACAGTCCATACCACTGAAGCCCGGCAGACACTCACACATGTAGCTGCCCTGGGTGTTGTGGCACAGGCCATGGTTCGTGCAGGGCTTGGACACACACTCATCAATGTCAACAGTGCAGCGCTGACCTACAAATAAGGAACACCCGGTCCTTGGAGGCTGATTCCCATAGAAATCCAGGCATGGCCTGAGCTGAGGAGGGCTGGGCCAGCTACTGCAAGGACACCTGCTTAGTCTTCTGCTTCAAGGACTTCCAGGAAGTGCCTGGGAAGTTGTTGCCAAGGGGCTAAAATTTCCCCCAGAAAGACCATCATGACTTGAGACCTGGGGGATGGAGTCTTCCAGCCACTAGAGGGCGCCAAAGACACGGACAGTGGGAAGGCTTTGTGAGCCTTTCCAGTCAGTAGCTCCTGGGCAGACACTGAGTTCTTCACAAAGACAGCAACCCTCTGGGTGGGGTGTGGCTCGAGTGGTACAGCACAAGCCTAGTGAGTGCAAGGCCCTAGGTTCAAACCCCAGTACCGCAAAAAACCCAGAACTGCAGGCCTCGAAAGCCCAGGGCATTCCATGTTGTCTGCTGACCTGACCATGTGGTGTCAAGAGCAGAGTGCCTATGCCTGCCCTCTCCACCCCATGTGATTACCTTGCCAGCCAGGAGCGCACAAGCAGGTGTAACTCTCAAAATTTGGTGCCTCTTTACAAACAGCAGCATTCTCACAAGGGTTTGGGGAACAGGGAGCCAACACGGTTTGACAATTCTTGCCTGAAAAGCAAATGACAGTTTCTGATAGAGAACCAGCCAAGGAAAGGAAAAGGTCTCCAAGTTGTAAACCCAGGACGAGCTCATGGGCTTTCTGGAATCTGAGAGACCCTTGGTGCTTTCTGTCTCGGCAGACACTGCTGTGTTGTGACCTTGAGCAAGTTATTTATTTATCTTCTCTGCACCTTTTTCATGAACAAAAAGAGAATTAGTAGCGAGGTGTGGTGGAGCACACCTGTAGTCCCAGCACTTGGGAGGCTGAGGCAGGAGGACCATGAGTTTGAGGCCCAGTGCATAGCAAGAACCTGCTGAGGCAAGGAGAGAGGGAGAATAGCTGTTAGGAGAGCCGGTACTCAGACAGGATCTTTGAGGACTGAATGAGAAAATGCACACTAAGTACTTATTAGCAAAGGGCCGCTGCACAGCGTGAGCACACTGTGGGCTGCTCCCACCCTCGCTGTTATCCCCACGAGAGGTTCATCCATCTGACGAGCTCACTTCCCCTGTCCATGGCTGAGACTCAGCTCACAGAAGCCCAGCCTTACAGGGACCCCTTCTAGGGGAAGAAGCAGCAGCATGGCCTCCTGCTCCTTGCAGCCTTGTCACCCTACAGCAGTATCAGTGAGCTCTGATATCCACCCCTAATACTTCTTGCCTTAACATGGCAGATGTGAGCTTGCAGCAAACAAATTGCAGAATGCTTTCATTAAAAGGGGATGAGGTTGTTCTTGAAGTCAAGTTACAAGAAACTCAACTTCAAATTTTATCCTACAATTTTGTATTCAGAAAGAAAAAAGTTACCATGAAATTGTGCCCTCAGGGCACACAGAATGGCAGCCATTCACAAGTGGCACTCTTGTGACAGGGATTGGAGGGACTCATGGATGTCCGTGTTACCTCTCTGTCCTGTAGAGAAGGGGACTGTTACTCAAATCCCAAACATTCTGTGGTTTTACCACAAAAGCATTTCTGTCTAGGGTAAATCACAGCTGACTAGAAGGCTTAGTCAGTGGACACAAATTTAATGATGAAATTCATCAAAAAGAAGAGCTCGGGTTGGAGGAGGGGCTCAAGTACTAGAGCACCTGCCTAGCCGGCATGAGTCCTTGAGTTCAAACCCAAGAAAACTCAAAACTCCAAGAAAAAGAAAAAAAAAAGGCTACATTGCTTTCATTCTCAGAATTGTATTAGTCTATCTTCTACCTCAGTAAGTAGTCTTTAGAACGCTTTCATTGCCCCTGATAATTCAGAAAACAGTATTGCTTTAAATGAGAGTCCTCTGACCCTCTTGCCACACAGACTGTGGTGGATGGAGACAACAACCATATGTAAAAGTGTGCAGACGGTTTATACACCAGATTTTTTAAAATCCTAATTAAGATAATTACTATTTTTTGTCTTCTAACCATATAAATGCTGTGAGTATACAAAATTATACTGACTAGGCTCTTCCTCCTAGACACAGCTAGGATTGAACTTTTTTGTGTGTGAGATACTGGGATTCAAACTCAAGGCCTCGCCCTTGCTAGCCAGATGCTCTACCACTTGGGCTATGCCCAAGTTTGCTTTAAGTTATTTTTCAGGTATGGTCTCTTACTTTTGCCCAGGGCCAAACTTAGACTGCAATCCTCCTATCTAACACCTCTCTAACACCTAGGATCACAGATGCTCACCATCATGCCCTCCTTATTTGCTGAAATGGGTCTCACTAACATCTGCCAGGCTAGCCTTGAACCATGATCCTCCTGATCTCTGCCTCCAGAGAAGCAGGAATTATAGGCACGTACCACTGTACTTGGCTTAAGACTAAAGTATGACAAGATGTCAGCTAAGGCCATAATTCATAGCATTAGACTGAATGGTGTATTGTGAAATTTAACTGGTGTAGTACAAAATTATATGAAACATTTAAATTGCCTGTAAGTCTACAAACATTTCTGTATGCTGCCTGCAGCTCTTTGCTTTAACCTCAGACAGCTGCAGGAATGTGTCTGGCAGGGTCCAGACTCTGGGCCCTCCCCAGCACGCTGACCGCTGCAGTCCAATCTTCCTTACTTCTTGCCACTTTCAGTGACACCTACCTTCACCATGTGCTCTCTGCCCTCCCCTGAAAGCACGCTGACCCACCCTGGCATGGTGATATAATCTCAGAGGAGACCAGTGCTCGCCAGCCTACTACTCTCCCAGCTTGCCAGTGTTTTCATGGTAGTGGGAATGACAGCAAAGGCTGAAACAGCCCTTCCATTTCAAAGGTGGCCATTCAACTCTTGTAAATCTCAAATTTCTCCTCATACAACAATTTCTCATGTCTGGGGACCAGCCCAGAAGCAAATTGCTTTTGGAAGGTTTCACAAAGATCCATTCAGCCCTTTGAGAGAGTTATCTAAATGTGGGGAGGGGCAGGCATTCTCAGCTGTGAGGGCATGGGATGTTTTCTGTATGCTTGAGCAGTTCAAAAAGGACTTTGTTTTCAAACTTGGCATATGTGAGGCACTGGATGGAGACCAGGGCCTTTGACAAGTTGGAAGAAATGGATTTGGAAATAGCACAACAAAATGAAGGTGGCTAACCACCTCCCCCACCTCTGCCCCCTATGTGGACCATTCCCCTTAGGTCCAGGTGAGCGCTCAATAAATCATCCCTGATATTGGCAAATTCATGCTAGCAAAGGCACACACTGGTTAATCTTCCACTAGTACATTTGCCTTTGCTCTGAGACATGCAACTTCTCTATCCATCGGCCACACTTGTCTCCACAGTCTGACTTCCAATATGGAAAACAGAATCCAGTAAAACCTGTGAAGTGCTGCTGCCTGAGGAAATGATCCCAAACCTCCCTCTGAGCAGAGGGCCCTCAAACAGATTTCACCCAGGGTCAGGGAGAAGCAATGGCCACTGGGAGTGAGCAATGCCTGCAGTGTGTTCTACTTCAGGTGCCCCTCGATGGGTGGCAAATATCCCCTGTCCCTTAGATCCCCCAAGTGCCTAAGGCCCCACCAGGCATAGGGCAGAAAAAAACTGCCACAATGAAAGAGAAAGGACACAACTAGAAAGGAGGGAGAGTGGGCTGGGAGCCAGTGACTCATGCCTATAATCCTAGTTCCTAGGAGGTAGAGGATCAAGGTTGTAAGCCAGCCCAGGCAAATAATTCATGAGAGCTTATCTTGAAAAATTCCACCCCTAAAAAGAGCTGGTGGCTGGTGGAATGGCTCAAGGAGTAGGGCCTGATTTTAAACCCCAGAACCTCATGAAAAAAAAAAAAAAAGAACTGGGGAGGGTTAAGGAATCCTTGATCTTTGTGGGGATTAAAAACAACCAAACACACAAAGAAACAAGGGTGTTCTCATTTAAAAATAATTTTATCTTTTGAAGTGCTGTGATTCCATTTAATGAAAAACACACAGACACAGTCATCAGATGAAGCAAAATAGTGTCTGCTGCGTGGAGATGTTTGTGGTTGTGGTTCTGGTGGTGCTCTAAGAATCAGGACCATTTCTGAGGCATCTGCACAAATGTCAAGAACATGGAGACATCTGTGCAAATTGTGTTGAGAACAGGGAAACCCAGGCGTCTCACCTGACGTGCCTGGCTGGCAGTTGCACTGGTAGCCATTCACCAGGTCGATGCAGCGCCCTTCATTCAGGCAGGGGCTGCTGTAACACTCGTCGATCTGGTCACTACAGATGGCTCCCATGTAGCCGGGGTTGCACAGGCAGGTGTAGGAATCAATGCCGTCCTGGCACTGGCCGTGGTGGCAAGGATCAGGGTCACAGTTGTCCACATTTTCCTCACACAGCACACCAGTGAATCCTGGGGAAAGAGTTTTGCCAAGGAAGCTTCAGAACCCAAACAGAAGCTGTGCCCAGGAACCCAAGGTCATTCATCTGCCCTGCATGGTGCTGGTTTAGAACAGTGGCTACTTCTGGCCTTGAACACTGGAAACTGACTCTTTGCCTTGAGTTACAACAGACACCTGGAGAGCTGTGCTCACACTAAAGATCCCGGCTCACACCTGCAGAGCTGGGGTGCCTTGTGACCAAGCACCAGATTTGCTGGAGAGGTGCGGATTCCAGACTCGCTTCTTACTGGGAATCAAAACAAACCACTCTCAACATTTCCTCTTTATCTGCTTTTGTCTGAATATCTTTCCTCCTAAGGCCAGCACAACACAAGCTCCCTCTTGGTCTTGTGCAGCGGGTATTCCTGATGACTTCGGGAGACAGGGAACTTTGTTTGACTCTACCTGTCCCAGAGTGCTGTGCACTATGTATACCAGGTTGTCACTAAAATGAAATGAGTGAACCACTTAGGACCATTTAAAAGAAAATGACAAAAAGTGCCTGCAATCCACGTGTAATTTGACCCATATCTACCTCTTCCTGAAAGGCTCCTGCAAGCCCCTGAAACCTTTTACACAGGTTTTCACATCTCTTCACTGACATTTATGTTCCACAAGTGGCCGCTCAGGACAGACATAGCCTGGAGCTTCTTCAAGGAAAGGAACCAGTTTATCAGGTGGAAAGGAGGTGCAGGACTCTACAGAATTGGTCTCGTCTAAGTGGGTCTCATAATGGAAACATTAACTTGTGTATGAATTTTGCAACTCACATTGATTTTCTGTAATTACAGAGAAATCATGTTTCAGTGCCTCTAAACCCATGACAATCCACTTTCTAAAGCAAGATAATGTCTTGAATCATGTTCATGACTTCTCTCTCAAACAATCGAATTGGAGAAAAGTTCGCCATTTCTAAGAATTCCTGGCTTCTCTCCATTGCAGAATCAAATGCATCACAGGGACGATTGTCTTAAGGAATCTACCTGCAAGTGAGAAGTGTGGCCACAGAACCAGAAATGTAGACGATGCATGAACAGACATGTTGGGATTCTAGAAGTGAGCAAGAGGACCCCGAGATTCCCTGCTGGAATTCTCTCCTGTCAGCAATGAACCCAGCATTCTAGAGCTCCCACATCACAGATGGGAAAACCTTGGCACTTGACACATAAGCCCATAGACACTTGGCCCTTTGACAGTCACCTGCCTCAGGAGGCAGAGACCAGGCCTGCAGAGGACCCCAGTAAGGAACAGCGTTCCACTGGATTCTTCTTTCCAAAGAGTACAGCCAGTGGAAGCTCACTGAGCCCAGGAACCACAATGGACTATGCACTCAGAGCACTACTGCGGTGGAGGAGGCGGCAGTGGCTGCAGGAGGGGACCACTAGAAACTCTGGAGCAGAAGCTCTCCCTAGCACAGGGCAGCCCTAGCTGTTAGACAGAGCACAGCCCCTCTATGCTCTTTCTACATGGAGCAGCGAGCAGGGACAGCACCCTCCTGTACAGGGGGACTTCCTGTGCAGTGCAGAGTGAATAGATGCTTACCCGTAGCACACTGACATTCATAGCCGTTCGGGTGATCGATACACTTCGCCCCGTTCAGACATGGAGTACTGGAACAGTCGTCGATGTCAATCTGGCACACTGGCCCCGTGAAACCTTGAAAGGCATAGAGGCCACAGGAATCAGATGCCCTATGCCTTCCTCACTGAGAAGAGGGTGGGTTTACCACTGGGTCACCATGCAGAAGGGTTCTCCCCAGCAGGTGACTGGAAGACCTGGGGAAGCTTGGGAGTCAGAGGACTGGTGTTGCCTCCACCACTGCTTCTCTGGAGCACAGACGTCACCTCCAGAGGAAGTGCAACACTAAGGATGGGCAGAGGCTTCAAGCAAGCCACTGTGCCTTCAGAGGCAAAGGGGTCTTCTCTCTGAGGGGAACTTGGACAAGCTATTGTCCATGGAAGACATTTGGCTTGCCTTCAACAGCAGCATGAGTGTAAAAGCAGACATACAGGATCTTGGACAAAACTGGATGTGTGCTGCCTGCCTGGGCTCATGGAGAAAATATCTAAAAATAATCATCTCACAGAGAAGCTTGACCAATATGATCCTGGGGGAAAAGCAAGAGCCAAAATAGCCTGTAACTCCAGCTTCTGTGAGGTGAGCGCTCTGAAATATACACACAGACGGAGGGGTCATGGGCCATTCAAGAATAGACTTGGATTCTGAGCGACTTGGAAGACCTACTAGCTAAATAATCCCCATTTCTGTGTACCCAGCCTTCCCCTCACTTGAATGGTTTCTTCATGCACAGCCCACACGCATCTCCTCCCCACTTCCTTCCTGGGGTCAGTTGGCTTAGTGATTTAGCAGAATAATTTGGCAGGGGGAGGGGGATTGGTACTCACCAGGGGGACACAGACACTGGAAGCGGTTGACTTTGTCCACACACTGCCCATTGTTCACACAAGGGTTGCTCTGACACTCATTTATCTCCAGTTCACAATGCACACCTTTGAAACCTGCACAAAATGGACCCCCGTGTGACTCAGAAGAGAAGGTACCTTCCAACTAAGAAACACACATGTACAGAGATGGCTACAACTTCTTTGAGTAGGAACACTTTTGCTAAGAGAAAGAAGCCCTGCTGTGATGGGACGCAGTCCCTGTCCATGGGATAATGGTCACTGTGAGAGATCCCGGACACTAGAGAGGACACATCGTTACCTCCAAAGACACTGGTGAACCCTGGCATGCAAACAAAGACTCCACTCTTTTTCTGGGGCCAATCCATGCTTTCTGGACAGTGCCAGGTCCAGTGTCCTCACTCTGTTCTTAAGACCAGCTGCTTTGGAGCTGCTGATGCTCTCGGTGCAGGTCAAGGTCAGAAGGAACTTCTAAGGCTACAGCAGTGGCATCCTTCCTCAGCTGTCACTTCCAGCTGGATTTGGATGTGTGTCCTGGGGATTCAGAGTGGTCTCTGTGCAGAAGAGCTCTAGAATGCAACTAAGCTAGGGCTTCACCCCGGATCAGAGGCAAGTCCCCGTGTCATGGTGGGTAAACTCTACTTCTGTGACTGAGGTACTGTTTGTAATCTCCTTTCCCAGAGAAGCGGGAAAGTTGGCCAAAGGCGTCCAATGGCAAATGGCTTCTATTGCCTGCACCTGGATTTTGACATGATCGGCTTGTTGAATTTGGTCTTCGTTTCTCTAACAACTCCCGCTCTGCCTTACTCTGGAAGTAAGAGGCTTGCCCAGGAGTCCTGACTTCCGACAGTCCCTGGTCAGCTTAGGGAACCAAGCTGATGCTTGCATGGCTTTGCTATAGTGTACTGATTGTCCTATGAGGGGAGGTGCCGTGCAGCCCCGCCCCCACACCCCAGTCCACGGGTCCGCTTACCTGGCATGCACAGACACGTGAAGCCCCCAATCTTATCCAGGCAGGTGGCATCATTCTGGCAGGGGTCTGAGTGGCACTCGTTGATGTCCATCTCGCAGCGAGGCCCTGAGTAGCCCTTCAGGCACTCGCAGTGGAAGGCACCGTCTGTATTCACACATTTTCCCGCATGCTCACAAGGGTTACTGTTGGCTGTGAGGCACAGACACCAATTACTGGGATCCAAGTACTTGCCAGAATTTCCACAAATGAGAACCACAGAAGAGACTCCAGGGCCAGGCCTTTAGCAAGCTCATTCTCTATTTTCAATTGTCTTCCTTAATGCAGAAAAAGAAGTAAGACTAGGGTAATCGCTACTGTTGTGCCTTTCTGATATTCTTTTGCCCAAACAGTCCCTGAAGATCAAGTGGTCACCTTCTATACATTTAATTCCTAGAATGGGATCTGTGGTCATGCAGGAAAGGTTGGTTATAAACCGTGGGCATAGGACAGGAGAAACCTTAGGTAGGGTGTGACGTGCCCCTGGAGTGCAATGTGCTCTGTCGAAGCACTTGCTGAGCTGGCAAGCTCCGCAAGCCCGGGAAAGGTGCTGTGAACTCACTCACCCATGGCACACTCGTCCACATCTTCTGTGCAGTCAGCACCCTTGTAGCCCTGTGGGCAGGTACAGATGTACTGCCCATTCAAGGGATTGGTGTCACACAGCGCCCCCTTGTGGCAAGGATTGCTGATGCAGGCATCATCCAGATGACACAAGAGACCTGTCCCAGGGTGGGGCAGAGGGAACAGAAAGAAAGTATGTATCATTTGGGGAAGAGCTTTCCTTCCACCAAAGAAGGAGCCTTGTGATCAGCTCCTCAAAAACCAGGAACTGAGGCAACTTCCTCTTTGCCTGGTCCTATGTTTGGGACCTGCTATAGTCATCAGCAAAAGCAGGTGGCTGCTTCAGGCAACCCAAGAGCATAGACCTGAGGGATCAGGTACGAACAGGCTGCCAAGGTGAGAGGACAGCGGGGCTCATCTTCCACAGGAAGGGCAAATCGCGTGGTCTGGGAGGTGACTGGAAGAGTGACAAAAGAGGAGCATTTTCAGGTCTTCTTAGAAAGCTTCTCAGGTTATTCTGTTTGACTGCAGTACAGAGAATGTCCTGAAGAGCCTGTTTTAAGTAAGCAGGAATGGGCAAGCAGCTCTGTAACAAGTTGTGAAGTACCACATGGGGCAGATAACAAACAGCATTCGTGGAGGACCTGTGTGGACCAGGCACTGTACTAAGCCCTTCCCCCAACCAGCCAGACCCTAAGCTATTGCCACCTATGTTTGACACACAGGAAATTGACACTGTCCCTTGGCTTGCATGGCCAGGGTAGCTGATGCAGGCTCTGCCCAGTTGAGACCAGAGTGTATTTTCTGTACCAGCCACCACTACTCTCTTGCGTTTGGGGAGGGACCAAAGTGACAAAGACGTGAAAGCCACGTAGACTATGCTGGATTGGGTTTTGAGTAGAGTCTCCCTGCATGAAAGAGGCAAGAATTAAAAGAATTTTTATGTTTCTGATTTCAGCAAATGTGAGTTTCATGGCGCCAACCACTTGCTGAAGGAATACTGCTGATGGTTGAAGGTAGATCCCAGGAATCTGGTATGAGAAGTGCAGGTTGAAAAGAGAGATGGCAAACCTCTCCCATATCTTCAGGAAAATGAAGAGAGAAGAGATAGGAAAGAAGCTGGTGCAGAGTCCCTGACAGGAGGCAGGCTTGGTAGAGGAGAGGGTCCTAGCCGCTTTTATATCCCAGTGCAAAGGCTTACAGAAAGCCATGTGTGCCTCCAAGAGAGTGGGGATGACTCACTAAGCTCCCCTGCAGTGTCCACAGCAAGAGGCTGGTATCAGCAGCCCCATTGGCTTGCAGGCAAGCAGTGAGAGTAGTGACAAGTGACAAGATGGGGGGAGGAAGGGGGACCTGCCCAGGAACCCAGTGTGCTCTGTGAAGTCAGTCAGCTGTGGAGAGGGGGACTTTGTTAGATGTGATTTTGTAGCCATATTTTCCTGTGTCCTTAGAAGTGTAGAAATTATGATACATATATTAAAAATGGTTACATCATTTTGGCACTTGCTTTTATCCCCAATAATTTATTGCATGCAGTTTTCTAGATTATTTATATAGATTTAGGTCATTTCCTTTAATAGATGGCATAGTATACTACAGTAGGCAGGCAATCATTTATTTAATTATTTCACTTATGAATGGATGACATGGTTCAGTTTTGAAATTTTTTACATTTATATTGTTTATAAAACTTATATAGTAGTAAATATATATTCATATAACTGTATACACATTTACAAAGATCATATGCATATATTTCTCTATAAATACACATATGTATTTCCTTCTTCCATGAAAGTATTTCTATGGTGATAGGTTCCTCCAATTGAAATTGTTAGATAAAAAAGAGAGCTGATAACTCATCCTGATTGATACGGCCAAAATCATCCTTTCAAATTCTTCTTCTACTTACATGCTGTTTGCAGAACAAAACCTTTTGTGATGATGGAAATGTAATATGGTCCAAGACAATAGCCACTACCCACCCCTGGATAATGAACAGTTGTCATGTGCTTGGTGTAACTGAGAGCTATAATTTGGATCTGGAGTGTCCCCCAAAGGCCCCTGTGTTGAAGGGTTGGTAGCCAGGGTGGTGTCATTCGGAGGGGGTAGGGGTGGAACCTTTAGAAAATGGGCCTAATGGTTTTTCAAACCCCAGTACCACCAGCACCAAAAAAAGAAGGTTCAGCATTATTAAACTCTCTGTTCTATCTAATGGATCTATATAAAGATATAATTTCAATATCTTTACTTTTAGAACAAGACAAATTTATTTTAATAGACTCATTTGGAGGAAAAGGATGTAGCTCAGTTGCAGAGCACTTGCCTAGCATGCACAATGCCCTAGATTTGATCCCAGGACCTCCAAAAAAAATAGTTCAAAAGTTCATATGGAGAGAGTAAGATTCTAGGGAAAAGTAAATCATTTGCTAACAAAAACTCAAGTGAAAATCATATTAAAAGTAATTGAGACACAAAAATAAATTAAGACAAAATGGCACAAATGGTAGAAGCACCTGCCTAACAAGTTTGAGGCCCTGAGTTCAAACCCAGTGCTGCCAAAAATAAAAAAAAAAAGTAAATTAGATAGAATGATATCCACACAATCAAAACATTTGGTCAACTACCAGCTTATAGGAACACCATCTAAAATATGATCACTTGAAGTGCCATTGCTTTCAGATGAGTCACTTTAGAGTGATATTCTTGATAAATAACTATTCTAATTGGTTTATTTAGGAGGTTATGTTTTTTTTTTAATTTTCTAAACAGATTCCACTATCATTTGCCTCTATCATTTGTCTGAAGAACATGTCAATCAATGAGAATATCAAGAGGCTGAGAAGAGCAAATTAACTATCTTTAGGATGAGGTATGCAAAAAGAACCCAGTTTTACTGAATGCTTATGGGCAACTTATTTATTTTTATATCTTTTTGATTTGACTTTTCTATTTGGTTGGAATATCTTTTTTGGTTTTCTTATCTTTATAGGCTGATCACATTTTCCTACCCTTACTCTGAACAATGCAGTGATTATAGAGGACAGTAGGAGAAAGAAGAGAATACACACAGGGTTGAGGACCCATGCTCTTTCTTGGACAGGTCTGTTTACCTCCGTTTCAGGGCCACTGTGGATGTTCCTGTTAAATGTCTTCTCCCCATAGAAAGGAGGCCTCCACCATTCAAACAAGGCAAATGCCTTGGTGGTTACACTTCTCAGGCTAAAAGTTAATTTACAGTTGTAATTTTGATGCCTTCTCTGTTAACACATACCAAGTCCTCAGCATAGGAAGTACTGTCCCTCAAAATCTGGTAGTGTATTGGCAATCAAAGACTGATCCTGTGCCCTTACATAGGTGATTTTCCTTCTTCAGGGGAGTGGAAAATAGAGTAGTATGATCAGGCATGTCAGGATGACCTAGACATTGATACACTTCAGCCTTCTGTCTAAGGCATTTTCAGTTTTACACTTTATGTAGCCATTACCCTGGATCCAGTTTCCAAATCAATCACCCTATAAATTTACAGCATTGTAGCACTGGCATGGAATACCCATGGCCTCTTCCCCAAATACACTTTGGCCCTGCAGATCCCAAACACAGCTCCCCTTTTTGTAACAAAGGGAACCACATTCACAAGGAGTTCCATTCTGGATTGAAGTAACATCTGGGCATAGACTTGAATTCCCATCACAGTACTCTGAGAGTTCACATAATTCTCTTCCTGCCTACACATATATCCGGATGGACACAACTGAGTGTTATGACAGCAAAGACCAAATGTGACAGTTGATGCCATGTTTGCCTTTCCCTTCTGGTAGGCAATGTTTGTTGTTTTAATCTTCCTTTGAGCCCCAATCAGACGTTCCTGAAAATGAAAATCACCAAATTGCTGAACATGTCATTGTTGGCATGTTATTTACACAGTCAACTATTTTAAATACTACATTAAAATAATTGAGAAAACTACTTTACTGCACTGGTGGCTCACGCCTGTAATCCTAGCTACTCAGGAGGCAGAGATCAGGAGGATCATGGTTCGAAGCCAGCCCAGGCAAATAGTTCTTGAGACCCTATCTTGAAAAAGCCCATTACAAAAAAAAAAAAGTGTTGGTGGAGTGACTCAAGGTGTAGGCCTCTGAGTTCAAACCCTAGTACCACCAAAAAACCATTACACCTGAGAGCCAGCATATACCTAGGACTGTCATGCATCATTCTCACACACAACCCAGTTCTCATGTAGACACAGAAGAAGAAATTGCATTTCTGATTGTAAGACCATTAATTGATTCACCAAGATATTTATCACTAACACCCAACTCTGCCCAAGTGCATCACAAAAGGATCTTTTATAAACAAGTGTGACCAATCTGTTTGAATTAGAGGATATTGGCCTCACTAGTATTTATCTTATCACTCTCAGTGTAGATTTGAATAGGTATATTTGTAGATTCAGCACCCCAAGTAGCACCTGTCATGAGAAGTCTTCTTTCACATATGGTGTGTATTAGACTGTGTTCCCTAAATGCAATTTCATATACTTTTTATGGGAGTAGATAAATTCCAATAGCTCTTACCTCCTGTGCTGGTCTATTTCTTCATCAATAAGTCACAGGCTTTAATTCCAAACTCTTTATCCTTTAGGAAATAAAAGATGTGCTCAAAGCTGGAGGAGAATTTGAGGGGCTTAATTTGGGAAGCTCAAACATCTGCCCTCAACATACCTCTGAATTCCCGCCAGGTATGTACTTAGCATGGCTTCTGACTCCTGGGACTCTTCCATAGAGCCCCCACAGTTGCAGTCTGGGAGAAAGGAATGACGGGCCACTCACTGGTATAGAGGCTGCAGGAGCCTATTGGGCCTTGAGAGGAGGATATCACTCCTGCCCATCAGGTTCAACAGGCAGAAAACCTACCCTGGCACATCCTTTCTCCATGCTGGGGTTCAGCTTCCTATTCTGGATAGGAGGTAAAATCCCGCCCCAGGAAGCCTGAGCCAGCGTGGATTGCCAGTGTGACTAGTTAACACCATAGACTCTCTTGGCACCGAGAGGTCTCCATCAGACTCCTTCCTGAGCCTGGGACCAAAGCTAGACTGCGAACTAGGGAGAAAAGAGGCCAGAGGAAGCATACGGGGCTTTAGAAAGAAAAGGCAGGAATGCGAGGAATGAAAACCAGGAGAAATTAGCAGTCATTCCCATCTG